AGTGTTAAATATATTTTTAATTTTTTTTCTTTTTGTGACAACTACTAATATTTTTTATTTATTTTTATTTTTTAATATAACAACATAATATAATTTTGAAAATTCTTATCAATTTGTTTCTTTTTTTTTAAATATACTGAATATAAAATAACAAAATACCTTTGGTGATGAACCCAAGAATAACTAGGTATAAAATGTTTGATTTTAGGGTTCTGGAGAGTAAAAGACAATAAAACTAAAGCATAACTTTTCCTTTGTTAATGTTGAAAATGTACGAGCTTTCAAAGAAAGAGCAATGAAGGTGACTTAATAACAATAATAGTGTGGTTTTGCTTCCCAAGGTGTATACTGAATAAAAATAAGAGTGTGGCAGTACAATAAAATTAATACTAACCCTAAAAATTATCGTATCACATGCAATGTGTATATTGATCATAAACATAATATATTAACACCAGCCTATAAATCGATAAGAGTTCTAAGCATTATGTAAATAGTCGTAGCTATTATGGTTTTGTTTTTTCTCATTGTTTTTATTATTCTTTTGATTTAGGGTATATGATTTTTAGTTTAGGGTTTATAGTCTTGAGGTTAGAGTTTATGGCTTACTTTGAATTACATTAGGTTTTGAATTATAGTGTTTAGAGTTTAGATTTAGGATTAAGGGTTTAGACGTCCGTATATATATGAATAATATATATGAAGTGATTATTTATTTATGAATATAATGTACACTCTAGCATACACCGGGGGTGTACACTATAAAGTACACGTATACAAGGAAAGCACACAAAATGTACACCTATGTTTACATGTATCATGAAGCATACACCACGGTATACATCTAGGCGTACACCAGCACGTACACCGTAATACACATTAGGAGTGCACCATAGTGTACATCTGGCATACACTTTACACCGAGAGGTACACCGTAGTGTTACAAATATAGTGTATTGGTTGCTGGTCTCTTAATAAAACTCCCATTACCACTAGACCATTGTAGTGTATTGGTAGCTGGTCTCATATTAAGCTAAATATATACAAATATATCTGAAAATATAAATTGAAAACATTAAACTAATCATCTTTTAATCTTCAACTTTTAAATTTGCTAGCTTAAGCCGACCACCTGACTCACACCTCACGTAATTTTGAACATGGCCAAAACCCACCAAATCGTAAAAATTTATTAGTTGATGAATCTTGGTTGTTTTTTTTCCCCAATTTGAAACCAATAATAATAAAACCTAGTTAATATATTGATTTTACGAAACAAAATCTATGCACACTACAATGTACACTCCAATGCACACAACAATGTACATTCTGCTACACACTATGGTGTACACCGGCTGCACAATATGGTGTACAGACGTCTGGACAACAGGTATTCACACCTTTGCTAATTATTTTTTAAAATTTTTTTAGCTCCGTCAACAAAACGCTAAGCTCTAAACCCTAAATTTTAAACACTAAACACTAACCTTTGGGTAAACTATAGACCCTTAGGTTTAGGATTTATCCACGGGTTTTGAATTTAGGTTTAAGGTTTTAGTGTTTTTTAAGATTTAGTGTTTAGTGTTTATGATTTATGATTTATGATTTATCCAAAGGTTTAGGGTTTAGTATTTAGGATTTAGGGTTTAGTGTTTAGGGTTTACCTAAGGGTTTTAGTGCTTTTAAGGTTTGTTTATTGTTTATGTTTAAGGTTTATGATTTATCCAAGGGTTTAAGATATACTTAAGGGTTAGTTTTAAGGATTTAGTTTTAGTGTTTTACTGATGTTGTTAAAAATATTTTTGGAAAATTCTTTTTTTTTTATGGTAACTAATACTATTTTTATTTCTTTTTACCTTTTTATTTAAAAACATAAAAGATATTGAATATCAAATAATAAAATATACTATTGGTTGGTGAACCTATATGTTCACCCATAAAAGTGAACCTAAGAATAATTTGGTATAAAATGTTTGATTTTGGATTTTGGAGAGTAATAAGACAATAAAACTAAAGTTGAATGTATTGTCGAGTTTTAAGGGTTTTGAGTTTTTTTAAGGGTTATGATTTAGGGTTTAGTGTATGGTGTTACAGTTTTGAATAAATTGTCGAGTTTTAAGTTGAGTGATATTGTTGAATTTAGGGTTTAGTGTTTAGGTTTTGGGTATATGATTTAAGAGTTAGGTTTAAGAATAGTGTTTGGAATAAGATTTTGAGTTTAGGTTTAGGGTATTGAGTATAGACATAAAAGTTATGGTGTAAAGTATATTTTATAAAGTTCTAGTACATGTATTATATTCCATATTATCTGCAAATTGAGACATTTTTTTTCAATGTGAGACATTTTTATTCTTCACTGTGGGAACCGAAATTCACACCTGTCGATTTCCGTAAAATAAGGAAAGTTAGAAAAACCCTAATTTTCCAGAGGAACCGGATCTCTGCGAAAGCCAACGACAAGTAACCAAGAACGCGATTAATATGAATAAATTGAAAGATATAAAAATAAAAACGAGATTGAAAGCAAGAAGGATTCTTATTCCGAATTCGCGTAAGAACGGTTACAACGAGAGTTGCCTTAGCTGCGTGAGCCGTCGGCGAAATTCCTAGTTCTAG